TGATATTTACACAAGTTATACAAGAAATATTATGGCACCATCATGATACTTGGCAACCACATAGAGATGGGTTAAAATGGCCTGCTTTTTTGTTTGTTTGTTTTGTTTTTTACCTATGTTGCCCTACAAGCATCCCATCAATAGCATCCAATCAAATAGGGTGATCGTGGCTCAAAGAGTTGACCGGAAGGTTGCTGGTTCGAGCCCCGGCTCGGACAGTCTCGGTCGTTGTGTCCTTGGGCAAGACACTTCACCTGCTGCCTACTGGTGATGGCCAGAGGGGCCGATGGAGCGATATGGCAGCCTCGCCTCTGTCAGTCTACCCCAGGGCAGCTGTGGCTACAACTGTAGCTTGCCTCCACCAATGTGAGAGTGAATGAATAGTGGAATTGTAAAGCGCTTTGAGGGCCCCGAAAAGCACTATATAAATGCAATCCATTATTATTATCATTTTAATTTTATGACAATAACATGTCATTTATATCTACAAATGCTCAGTAATGCAGATCATAATGCAAACATCTACTAAAAGGCTAAAAATGATCAACAATTACCACCCTGTGTAATACAAAATGGACAGATTTCTTCCTTCAAATAAAACTACACAGACTCAGCTACTATAGCCATGGTTATTGTACAGCTGTTAACAGGGTTAGGGATTGGAGCAGAAAAATCCCTGATGGTGGTGCAACGATAGATAGATAGATAGATAGATAGATAGATAGATAGATAGATAGATAGATAGATAGATAGATAGATAGATAGATAGATAGATAGATAGATAGATAGATAGATAGATAGATAGATAGATAGATAGATAGATAGATAGATAGATAGATAGATAGATAGATAGGGCCGACTTCATCCAACCTCCAGAAAGGTTTTCAAATATGTGGTAAACATTGTGAAGGGGTCTATTTTAATACAAACTATGATCTTTTCCCAAACCAACCCAAGATGTTTTGGTCAACCAAAAAGAGACTGGAGAAGAGCATAATCAACAACAACAAAAAATAGCTGGAACCTTTCAATCAAAAGACGGTCATGCACAGGATACAAACCACAGTCTCCTTGGGTAAAGTCATGTGCTAGTATTTTTTATCCCAACCCAAAAGGAGTCTTTGTTGGGCTTTTATTTGGCAAACATTCACATGTTGCTTGAGGAAACAACCTATTCTGTCTCTGAGGTATATAAATGTGTTCATGTAGTCTTGTGTGCAATTGTTGCTTCAAAAATTATGTTCTCTCCTCATTGATTTCTGACTTGTGATACAGCACTTATCCCTAAGCCTTTTTCTAGTGATTCCTGATTAGTACAACAGTGTGCACACACATAATATATCCAGAATTTTGTGCAGCAGAGTGTAGATTTTCTTTTATTCTTACTGGTTAATTATTACACAACCCATTGTTTTTACTGACCCAGTGCAACAGGAAAAGGAATGTTGTTGTCTGGACTTCTTTAAGTTTTCTGTAGACGTTTCACCTCTCATCCGAGAAGCTTCTTTAGTTCTAAGCGCAGTTGGTGGAGAGTTGCCCTGGCTGTGTGGTTGAGATCATTGTCTTGCTGAAACGTCCACCCGAGTTTCATCTTCATCATCCTGGTAGATGGCAGCAGATTTTTATCAAGAATGCCTCGGTACTTTTTTCCATTCATCCTTTCTTCAGTTATATGAAGCACGCCAGTGCCGTATGCTGAAAAACAGCCACACACCATCATGCTCCCAAGTCAAAACCTCACTGTTGGTTTGGTGTTTTTGGGGTGATATGCAGTGCCTTTGACCTCCAAACATGCCGTGTATTATGGCATTCAAAGACTTGAATCTTGGTCTCATCTGACCACACTATATTCTCACAGCATTTCACAGGCTTGTCTGTATGTTGTTCAGTTATCTTTAAATGGGTTAGGGTTAACATGTCTTCAACATGCTTCTTTATCACCGACAGTGCTCACCAGAACCTTCAGTAGTGTAAAATTCTTCTGTAACTGGTTTTACCCTTCACGAGATGTTTAATGTGTACCACCTTGGTAATGATACACCCTTTTATAGGCCAAGCAGCTGATATTTATTTGCAGTAAGTGGCAGGAATACTTTATATCTGCTGATAGATTTCAGCTCGTGACCTTTAATGCTTTTTTGCACCTCCCTTCTTCATGTGTTTAATACTTGTTCCCTGTTTGATTTCTCATTATTGCATGGAGATCTATAGTTTGATAATTTTTTTGCATGTGTGAATGGGAAGGGTTCTTATAGGCATCTGCTGAGAATTTCATGTCAATAGCACCTTTAGAAATATATTTACTTAGAAAATTGGTGACATATTCGATCCTTATTTTGCCCGTATCAGTGCTATCTCCAACCATTATCAAAACACTAAATGAGGGAATTTGTTTTAGAAGAACGGCGCTCCACCTCTTGGTGTTGTTCCAGAGACTTGTCCCCTTTAATTAGATCTCTCTCTGTATGGAAAATGTAAATGCTTCAGTATGACAACAAATACTGTAACTTCTTTTTATTAACAAGTTCGCCTTTAGGCAATAATATGGGAAAAAGGCAGATCAAAGACAGCTGAAATCAGTTAAAAGCCTCCTTTGTATTTGGCTGTTCATCACTGTAAGTGATTCCCATGATATGGCCCCACAGTCTCAGGCAAAGGGAATAAAGGCCTTTTAACAGATTCTTGCATTGCCCTCTTTTTCCTTCGTGATCAGAAGACATTTTTGCACAAAACTCAACCCCATAATATTTAACATTTATATCTGGGACGAACTCCAATGTCCTGTCCTTTAAAAAAAGAGAAGGGATGAATCAGTTTGAAGTCTGTTAATAAACTAAATGAATCTGGTTTGCCCAAATTGGAAAATCATATATCTGCATGAAACCATCATTATGTCATCTGCCCATACAGTGCCATCGCATTTGCCAGCATATTAAAACTTGTGAATGGGCTAAAAAGTAACATTAATGAAAGGTTTGCTTGTCTTTATTATCACTTTGCTGATTCTCACCTCTACAAAAAACATGACTATAAATTTGGCTTCTTACTCGTATCGACCAACATTTACAGCGTCTGGCAGCTGTTGCTAAATTTTAAGTAACTGTGTGAGGACAACATAAAACAGCTCTATGAGAATCTCTGATTTAACTCTGTAACTTCTGTCGGTGCTGTGCTTTTTTGGAAATCGAATTTCCCAGAGGAACCCACCCGAGGGATTAATAAAGTTCTATCTAATCTAATCTGATTTGGTGCCATCACTTTGAAGCTCAGCTATACTGAGTCATTTTTAGTCAACTCATACGCATTAAGCCATATTTATCATGATCACTTGTCTGGTTCGCCACAGAGATAAATAGCAAGCATGTCCTGAAGCAAGTGGTTGAGCACAGAGCGAAAACTCGGAGGATAATCATGGATTAGTAATAGTTTCCATGACAGAGATTGCTATAGCATTCTTTGATGGTGCAAAACAAAGCAGCATGGCACACATGATGCTGCAGTCGCGGAGAGTCTGGAGGATGACCATCTACTTTTGATGGGCTTTGCAGAGGAGACAAACATAAGACACTGAGAGGAGCCACACACAGCGTTCCACGTGTGTTTCTTCTTTCTTCATCAGATTTGGACAGTGGAAAGAAATCTTTTTTCTCAACTCATTGACTCCTTTGTGGGCTGCAGGATTAATGGGACCTTTCCAGCATGAATGGATCACAAAGCAGGGAAATGCCCCGCGTAGGGCGTTGGCCAACTACACGGCAAATACAGATAGATAGACTCAGCACCTCTTACCCGCGAGCAATTTAGAGCCTTTCCACTTAAGCAGCACCTTTTTCAGCTGGAAAGTCCACAAAAGGCTGAGACTGAGCCAACTCTGCTGCACTGCTGTGAAGCAAAAGCTTTGTAACAGTAGTTAAAGAGCTACTCTGTAGGAAACACTGCAGCTTGTGTCATTGTTGTAGGATTTTGAAACGTTTTGCTCGTTGAATGCAAGGACTCACAGATGTGTAAAATTCAAAAGGCTGAAAAGTACACCAACACCCGATTTTATTAAAATGCATCATGGTGACTGTGATGGCTGTTGGCAAATGTTATAAGAAAATTCAGTAAGTGCATCTTTGTGTGGGATTTTTCTGCTTCGAGGAGTTTCTGGAAACACCCATCCAGAGTTAAAAATACATTTTTAATTGGGGTTTCATTTTTCCATGTCTAATACAAAATGAACAATCACAGATTTCTTATTTCAAATAAGACTACAGAGTCTTCGTACTTACTTGCTGTAGTGATGGTTGCTGTAAATCAGTTTACAGGGTTTGGAGATAGGAAAATCTGTGAATGCAGTGCAAAACCCCTCAACAAAGGTAATAATTATTCACAAGAAATCAAAAACCCAAACTTGATATTACGTTCCAAGTTGGCACCCTATTCAAACACTGCATGTTGCTCACCGAGTCCAAACACCAAGAATGTTTCTCTTTGCTTTTGGAACACTTTAAGCATTTAGTAACATCGTCTGACCCAGACAATTAAAGCAATGATAATAATAATAATATTAAAATACAGATAAATCTCTTCCAGACTTTTGGAAAGATTCAATTCCGATATTACTGAAGGGGAATGTACTGTTGTGGAATTTGTGCAGCACACTAACGTCACACTAGCATCCAGTGCCAGTTTACAAAAATACATGCACAGTGTAGCAATTGATTAAGAATTAATTAGCAATTATTAGCAACCATCAAACATTACATGGTTGTTGCACACACAATAACATGCTCTCTTACCAAAAATGGATTTTTATTATAAAGATGTGTAATTTTGTTTTTTACAAATATATTTTTTGCACCACTTTTGTTCTCACACGATCAGTTCACGTTTGATTTGCATATTTACATTAAATTTAAATGTATCGTATCAGATTCTAACAAACATCATGCATGTTTTATTCCTTTAAGGTCAGTATTGAACATCTATATTTCTTCATCTATGGCTGATTCCTCAACCTTCGCTCTGCTGGCTGCGGTGTCCCACCAGTGGAGTTCAGCTGAGCACACCCAGAGGTGACGCACACACCTGGAGGTCCTCTAAGACCCGGATGGCCCCTGAGCCCAGGCCGGCCCATATGCCCCCTTTGACCCTGCCTTCCAGGCTGGCCATTGAAGGCTCTGCCAGGACGTCCACGCTGACCTGCGACGGAGTCAAAAATATTGTTTAGTCTTCAGTTCGTGCAGTCTGCTCAGTGAGCTGAGTAATGCTTCTTGTGCAGGTTCCAAGACCAGCGTACTTCCAGAGAAAAATCATTTCATTCTGTCCAAGAAGTACTCATGTTACTGTACACCAGCCCCTTTTCCCTGGAATTTAAAACTAAGAATAAGCTGAACATGCTTAGCAAAGATGTCGACATCAGTTGATGCCTTAATTTCAGTTAAAAAAAAAGTTAAAAGTACCCTTTGGTCCAGGGTCTCCAGTATTACCAGGCAGGCCGTAACCCTTGGCTCCTTTATCACCTTGCTCTCCTCTGTCACCTGCAATCAAAACACACACGCAGATGCATGAGTTCAAGAAAGATCTATATGTTTGGGCTGCTAGACTACTCTTTACATCATTTCCGCTTCGCCATGCTCTCAAACTTAAGTAGCCATCACTCTGGTCCACTCATTTTCTTGGCTGCCTCATATGAACCAATCAGCCTCTTTCCCTTTAATTCTCAGTACTCTTCTGTCACTCTGTCTTTTAGCCTCACTTCTGTGTGTGACCCAGCTTCTTCCCATCTCCACCTCATCTTGGCCAGACAGAGATCCTCATCCAAGTCTACACATGCTTCATCTTTGCCACCATCAGCATCTAGACGCCGCTATGTAGCTTAACTGGAGTGTAATTGCCAGAGTTCTGACTTTACTACTCAAACTCTATATTTCAGGAAATCATGTTCAGTTCCTTTCTGAACTCTACTAATGACCAAGCTGTTGATGTTGATTAAACACCATACGTGTTACTGAGATCACTGGTAAATTAATGTTTAAAACACCTTATAAATATTCTTCAGTTTCATTGGCCTGGCAGGGGTATGACCGTGACATCACACTCAGGCCTCAAACCATAAATAAGAAAATGTACACGTTCATGACCAGGAGCTGAGCAACCAAACTGTGCACACGGCTAAAACTTGATGTTGATTATCTATATTAGATATTATGACATCATCATGTTGCTCAAAAATATGATCACACAGAGCACACCTGGACCCTGAGCCCTTGAAGGGTGCAGGTAGATGCTGGGCTGGTGGAATGCTTAAAAGACTCAAGAGATTTCTTTTTCAGTAGTGTCCATTTGGGACATGATTCTACGACAGTGCAAAATCTGTGATGCAGCGCAGCTCAATTTGCTGCCCTGAAGAACTTGAAAAAGAGTCAGACACCATGTATTTTGAGTAAGCGTTCCATTCATAATGTACTGATGTATTTCTGGGGGGTTTTGTCCTGATGTAAGAGGCCAAAAAATAAAATGATGTCTGTTTAAGTATAGGATATCATAGCCTTCTTTCCAGCACGTATTCTACCTAAAATAAACCTTGATTAGTTATTATTTTTTCATGTATATTAGACTGTATTCATAAATACAGTCTCCCTTGTTTGTTATCCATACCTGCTTCTCCTTTTCGGCCTGCTTCTCCAGCTTCTCCGTAGAATCCCGGTGGGCCCACTTCTCCTTCCGTGCCATGATTACCAGGATCCCCCTGACAACATCATCAACAGGAAAACACATTGTTAATCTTTTGAGTGTTTTCAGCTTGAACCTGGCCACCACTTAAGTCCTGTTTCACCTCTAACCAGCTCTGAACAAAAAGTCTGAAAAGATTTATTTGGCTGATAACTCAATACTCTGATGGGAAAACACTGCATTTTATTGGTGCATCACTTGTTTTAGCACCAAACACCACAACATCAGGCTTACCATCCAAAATCTAATATAGAGGAATATTTTTATATAGTCATGGTTTCAAGAACATTTATCAGCCAGAGAGTTATTGTGATTAGGAGTTGTGGGACATGAATTGATTCTACACTGTAAAATAATGTGGAAAAGCCTTTCTAATCCAAGGACAGCCTTGATACTTTCCAAAAACCATGCAAAACAGACCAAGTGTCTAGTCTGTGACTCCTTATTTGTCCTCATGGAGACGTGGAAAATTGTAATGTTTTCATTCCAAGCTTTTCTGCCAAATACTTCAGCTCTCTTAGTCCAGTCCAGACCTTCACAATGTGTTTGCATTGTACTCAGCCAGGCAGACAATAATGAACAATGTATGGAGAATGTACTTGGATTCTGACAGTGTGTTTAAGCTAAAGGTCTGCACAGGACATGTGCAATTTTTTTTTCCTTTTTTTTATAGTAAATGTTCCTAGAGTGTAGACTGATATGTCTTGAACAGTGAACACCCAAAGTGTAAAACTCACAGGTGGTCCGGGGGGTCCTTTCTGTCCAGGGGGACCAGGGGCACCCATGGGAACATCCCCGTACAGAGGACAGACAGCAGCACATGTCCTCTTCACTGAGTTGGCAAACATGGACATCTGCTCCAGGACCACTTTCTTACAAACCTCAATCACGTGTTGAGCAGGGAGGGTCGGACCCTGTGTAAGAAATCATTACCACATCCATCACTGGAAGGATTCCAACCACGGGACATGTAAAATGGATTATTACAGGATGGGGCACGCTGAAGCAACGGCTGCCTCTCTGAGGGAAATGCAGCGAACAAAGCCAACAATATTTCCCGAGGCTCATTATGGATTTATAGCCACACTAAACGAAACTCTTGCTGTGACTCACTACTAACTGCAGGCTAATGAGACACTGTTTAAATGTGTTCTTGACACCAAAGCTGTTACCAAACACTGTGTGTGCCAGTCAGTGTAACTACTAGAGCAAATGATTACTCTGCGCTTTCTGTGCCATTATAGTAGAGACTGCTTTTCATGTCAGTTACAGAGCTAAATACAAACAGTACTACTCTATACTGTAAGCATTTAAATGTTATTTGTATCAGCCAAAAAAAAAAAAGCCGGAGGCTTGTATTTTACTTACTGGGGGACCCGGCGGCCCCTGAAAACCATCTGGTCCAAGTTCACCTCGAACACCCTTGACTCCGACAGGACCTGAACGTCCAGGTGGGCCTGCAGGCCCGCGCTTCCCTCGTCCTCCCCGAGGACCCTGCTTACCCCTGTCTCCAACCTACACAGGATGTTAACAACATCAGCAGGACACGATTAAGGATGGAGCAAGCGTATACGTCAGGATACAACATGTAATCACTTCTGCATGGATGCAAGCTTTATGGAAAGCATTAACTGCTTAAAATCTGAATGATATGAATGGTTATAGGTTTAGGGACAAATGTTATACTGAATACAGGAAATAAAGAAAGTGTAAACAGACATTTAAAGAGTAAAATCTTTCAACCTCCCAAAACCTGCCCTGGAAGTATAATGTATAAATATATTTTAAAAAAAAAACATGATATTTTTATGGACGTTTGAAAATAGAAATTAAATCCGGCAGAGAGCTTTGAGAAATGTGCAGAATTCATTTTAGTGCATTTGTGCTTCTGTTCTTATCACATTGACAGATGTTCTAAATATGTTTGGAATGTTATTTAATGGATTCGTATCATGTGACGATCGGATTTTCTAATCGCCGTAGCTGCAGAAATATTATAGTGTTAGGAAACTCCACACCTGCACAACTCCTCTCTTCAGTGACTCAACTAATCACAACTAGCCTGATATATTAAATCGGAGAACTGGGTTGATTGCAAATGACAGCTTATAGTGACAGAAAAAAGGTTCGTGATCCCTCTGGAATTCCCAGGAATTCTGAATTGATTATTCCTAAAATGTGCTCTAATCACAGTTATAGCTGCAATCTAAACTAATAACACAGAAACATTTGTACTTTTCATGCCTTTATTCAACGCATTGAGTAATCACTCAGCGCATTCTCCTTTACTGGCCAGGAAGTGTCTCCTTTCAGCAGACACTTCCTGCAGCTGCTTATGAGTCTTGAACAACAATAAAGAGGAAATTTGGACCATTGCTCCTACAATAAGTCTTTCAAAACATTTCTTGGATTGTTCTTGATGGAACGGACCTCATCAAGTCAAGCCAAAGCTCAACTGAGTCAAGATCAGCAATCAAAATCAGAAAAGGGATTTTTTGTTTCCCCTCCCCCTTTTCCATAATTCTTGTGCTGTCTTACTCGTGTGCTTTGGGGTATTGTCCTAAGCCTATGTGATGCTGCCCTCACATTCACCTGTACAATTTATCTCAATGGCTGCACGTCTTTCAGAGGTAAGGCAGCAAAACAATTCCAAATCATGATACTCCCTACACCATCTGTGGTTGGGATGAAGTTTGGGTATTGCTGAGCAGTTCCATTATTTCCACTTAAGTCTCATCTGTGGCAGAACAGAGTCTCAGATGTGTTGTGGAACATCTCCGTGGACATTTGTAAACCGAGGACGTGTTGCAAAGTGCAATTCCAGTAACATCATTCTTATTTTTAAGTCTTCTCAAGTGGCATTTAAACACTGTAGCAAGTTTTATTAAAGTGTTTTTTTGTTACCACCGAGCTCTTTGCAGGTTGTGCTCTTGATGTGATCATTGGAGAAGACTTTTGCTTAAGAAAAGTAGCAACAGTGTTCAGTTTTATCCATTTTTTTCTTACTTTGGCTTGAACACCTTGAAAAGTGTACTAGAAAGCAAGATTAATGACTTAGCAAAGTAGGTCGAGCCTAGAGTTGGGAGTTTTCAGTGTCACAGAGGTGACCTGACCTGGCTAGATCATTATGGCAACTTATGTTGAACACATAACTTGGTCTTTAGTAGATCATGTTCAGAATTGTGTTCAATGAATACAATTAATTTCACTTCAATTTTGTGACAAACTAAAGCTATTTCCATATCTCCTTTATTAGACTATGGGAACTCAACAAACTGAGAAACCTTTAATTTTCAATTGTAGACAATGCACTTTAAAATTTCAGAATTCTTAGAAACAAGCAGCAGCACAGTGAGCACACTAAGGGGTAATATGGATGCATAAACTCGTAAGAAGTGCAAAACTTATGTTGTAATTCTCTCTCACTTAGATGACACTGAGTCTGGAACTTCAAGTAATTACACAGCGTGCAAAACGTTTTTCCTGTAACTGCAATTGAACTCTTTAAATCAGTTTGTTCTTGAAATGAATGTTGTACACCAAGACTTTTAATCATTAGTCGGTGTTATAATTATTATGCTCCAATTTATCGTTAAGAAAAAAACACACATACAGTCTCATGTATGAAATCTCACCTGTCCTGCTGGGCCCTTAACTCCTTGTTCTCCCTTTAAAAAAAATTAATTTGATGTTAAGATAGAAAAAATGAATATGTTGAGCAACAGGGAAAAGATAAGTAAGGCAGTACCTGTACACCTTTAACTCCTTTAATACCCTGGATTCCCGTGTCACCCTGTACAAGGCAAAAGAAAAATAACATTTTCATGATTTTTTGCAATTATTTTGGTTCATTATATTGATCACATTCACACTGAGCAGTCCCACACATACTTTAGCAGGTTAGTCCCATACACTAAAGTCCAACACTGTTAGCTACTCTACTCTATCATTTTTTGCCAGTGTTCATCCCACATCCACTGTGGGCTGACAGCTGAGATGATCCAGTTGTAGAGCTATGAAATATTTCAATAAGCATATCTCCTGCATGCATTCTAATACCATATGTCCATCCATGCTGACCTTTACCAACCCATATGCGAAAGTCATGTTTGCAAATTGAAAACACTTCTGAACATGCTTTATTTTAAATTACTTTTCATTTATTGATTTATTTGTTACATAAATTATTTGTTTTTCTTCTTCATGTGAAGTAAAACAGTGGTTTCTGCATGAATATCTTCCCTTTTCATTGGTGTGGGATGTACTGTAAACACTGAGAGCAGGTCCTGTGGGGGAGTTTAGCACTTTTAGTGACCTCCTGTCCATATGGAGAGACAAAAATACACTGAGCCAACATGCCCTGAGCAGCAGCCTCTGATTTGACATATTAAACTGTTTCCTCGAACTCTACCAACTTATGTTACATTAGTGGGCAGCGAAATTAGGGATGGTTTATACAACATTATAAAAAAGTGCTGTCTAGTATCTAATTGGACCTACCATTGTTACCTAAATACAAGGTTGCTTTCCAAACCAGGAAAATGTCTTGGTTTGGACAGAGAATCCATCTGTAAATCTTAAATTCTATGTGGCTCATTGACCCAGCAAATGATTCCCAAATAGCCGCTATAATTGAACCATTAACAGTAATTTTGCCCCCATTTTATTTCTCAAATGGGTAATGGATAGGGATGTATTACCTTGGGCCCTCGTTTTCCAGGCATGCCCACATGTCCCTGTAAAAAGATGACATGGTTTAATAGCTCGAAGAAAATGAACTAGTGTTTGGAAGAGTTAAGAAAAGTCATCTGGAGCACTTACAGTGGGTCCAGGTGGGCCAATAAATCCAGGTCTTCCTGGCTTTCCTGCAGAACCCTTGTAACCTCTGGGGCCCTAGAGGATATAACATTTATTAACCAACCTAAGCTACAGCTTTATTCTTTGTCATTTCCCTTTAGGATGGCAAACTACTTTACAAACAAAATGGATTATGTGCTGTCTTTGGTGAATGAAATGCCTGAAAATGTGACTTACAGTTTGCCCTCTGGGACCTATTTCTCCTGGTGGCCCCAGGGTGCCTTTCTCCCCCTGTAAAAGGAACAAATGGCCAGATATTAATCTGCCAAAAAAAATACATTTTACACTTATTTACAAAACTTAACAATATCAGTGAGTTACCTTTGCTCCACTTTGTCCAAGTTTTCCGCTGAGGCCCTGTGGTCCTTGATAAGCCTGTAGAGAACAGATGACATTTACAGTATAATGATAAATGGGCACTGCTTCCAAAATTCTACATAAACATGTCATTATAAGAAGAATATAATACCTCTATTCCTGGATCACCATCTCTGCCAGGTAAGCCCGGATCTCCAATAATGCCCTAAGGAGACATATTATTTTTGCAAGTGCAAGTGAGCCCTCGGGTGTGATGCGCTGAGTGTGTTGGCAGTGAATTACCTTTGGTCCTATGGTGCCAGCTCTGCCCACAGGTCCTTGAATTCCCTAGATTTCAAGACAAAAACACTCATAAGAATTCAAAATTATGTTGTTATAAATTTAATCAAGCAAAATAATATATCCCCACGGTTGATCTGTGACTTACAGGTCCCCCCTTCAGTCCAGGAGTTCCCCTTTCTCCAGGATCTCCCACAATGCCCTGTAAATTCATCATACAAAGTGACATAAGTTAAAATGTTGCTTTATCTGCAATACATTTGTTTCAGTAGTAAATTAATAGGACGTGCCCTCATATAGTTCATGCAGTGTAGGTATCATGTAGGTTATCGCTGCAGTTCAAGCCCTTCTTCCAGTGACTCACCAGCTTATGTTAATATAGTTCAGGCCCTCAGATCTCAGCCAAAATCCAGCCACATGAACTAATGTTGTTTATGGAGACGGCACATAAGCCAAAAACATAGCTCTATTCCAGTGTTTTACAACATTAAAAATGATTTACGCGCCCTTCATGCTCACATAAGGGGATTTTGAAGGAAGCGCACAAAGACTGTAGAGTGTTTTTTTATGGATCATGGAAAAGGGAATCCCACAACCACCCACCTGCTTTCCTCTAAGCCCAGGTCGCCCTGTTGCACCAGAAGCTCCTTTTTCACCCTAAAAATAAAAACATAACAGTTTCAGATTATATAATATGAGGGAAAAATTAAGTAAACTGTCAGGAAACTTGAATACCTTAACTCCTTGAAACCCAGGAATCCCTTCATATCCTCTGATGCCTTTAATACCCTTCAAGGAGGTCAAAATGTTAGCTATACAGTAATTATATAATGATTTGCTTAAGGACTTACCACTGGGCCTGAAAGGTTCACTTACAGCTTCTCCCGATTTTCCAGTCTCTCCAATGTCTCCAGGTGGTCCTTGAATTCCCTGTAATTACAGTCAAATGTCAACATTAATTTCTTTGAGTCATCTATAAAGTTATATAGCTACAACAACAAACTTATAACTTCATTAAGTGGCTTGCCAATTAAAGCAAGAACTCAAAAGGGTTATTACCGTAAAGCCCGTTGCCCCTTTTAATCCTTTCAGCCCTTTGGGACCTCTGTCTCCCTGTTAACACAGCATCCCATTAATATTCATCATCATTTGTAAAATTCTGAGGTAAAGAAAATGATAAATTACCACTTGGCCCCAGGGTCCTCTCATTCCTTTCTCGCCTTTGATTCCTTCTTCACCCTGAGGATACATACATGCATACATGAGGCTTCATTAATGAATCTTGAGAACGAGCCAAAGTGAAGTGCAGCCCTGATGGGATCGTTTAAAGACAAATCTCACCTTTGGGCCTGGTTCGCCAATGTTGCCATAATCTCCTGTGTTCCCCCTTATGCCCTGCAAAATAAAGTTTGACTTAATCAAAAGCAAGACTTCTTGCACAACAGCTATTTGTTGGTGAAAGGCCCGGGGAGCAGCGTAAAATTTAATTAACGGTGACTGTTCTCACTGATTACAAGTTAATAAGATTTTTGTCGTTAAACTTTGGATACATCAGACTAAGAGTCTCTTACACTTCAGACTTTCATCCCTAATAAACACAAGGAGGAAAGGTGAAGTGCTAGAGAGATGAGTGACAGGGTGATTTGGGGCAGAAGGACAGCAGCAAGAGAGACAGAAAAAGGGAAGATCTTCAAGCTGGTGTCATATATGGTTTGGAGTGAGAGTTCAGATTGAGCAGTTTGGAGACAAAGTTAGAGAGCCGAGGCGGAGATGGTTTTGATATGTGCAGAGGAGGGAGAGTGGATATACTATACAAAGGATGTTGAAGATGGAGCTTCCAGGCAGGAGGAGAAAAAGACGACCACAGAGAAGAATCATGAATGTAGTGAAGGGGACCATGCAGAGTGTTGGTGTGACAGATGAGTCAGGGAAAGGGTGAGATTCAGGCAGATGATCCACTGTGGCAACCCCTAAATGGAGTAGCCAAAATGATCATTTGGCCACTGTAAGACAGAGCTAGAATAGAGAAAGAAACATCCATCCATTCACTTCCGCTTATCCTTTTCAGGGTTGTGGGGGGACTAGAGCCAATCCACAATGTCTTAGGGTGAGAGGCAGGGTACCTCCTGGACAGGTCACCTGTCTGTCACAGGGCTAACACAAAGATGGAGACAACTATTCACACTCGCATTCACACCTATGGGCAATTTAGAGTTTCCAGTTAACCTATCCCCACTAACTGCATGTCTTTGGACTGTGGGAGGAAGCAGGAGTGCCGGGAGAGAACCCACGCAAATACGGGGAGAACATGCAAACTCCACACAGAAAGAAAAGGAACTCAGGACCTTCTTGCTGTGTGGCAACAGTGCTAGCCACCATGCCACTGGGCAGCAGAACACATTTTAAATAAAAATACAATTCTTTGCTTCCCTTTCCCACCATTAGCTAAAGTAGCAAAACCATTATCATTGTGTCAAAATGATAACGGGCGACCGTGGCTCAAGGGGTTAAGAATCACATCTGTAACCGGAAGGTCGCCGGTTCGATCCCTGGGCTCTCTGGCCTGGTCGTTGTGTCCTTGGGCAAGACACTTTACCCTACTTGCCTACTGGTGTTGGCCAGAGAAGGCCGATGGCGCGATATGGCAGCCTCGCTTCTGTCAGTCTGCCCCAGGGCAGCTGTGGCTACAACTGTTGCTTGCCTCCACCAGTGTGTGAATGTGAGAGTGAATGAATAGTGGTATTGTAAAGCGCTTTGGGTGCCTTGAAAAGCGCTATATAAATCCAATCCATTATTATTAAAACATAAGATTAAAAACACTGCAAAGTCTACCATATAATCAGTTGTTTGTTTTTGCATTATTTTTGCTTATTTTCCATTATGCAACATTATTATTATTATTATTATTATCATGCAACAAATTGGCCTAAATATCAGCTCTAAAGCTAAGGTTAATACCTTAGCTTTAGAGCTGATATTTAGACGCACAGCTGGTGAAAATAGCTTTCAGTAGAGAGTGGGACAAATGCTTTGTACAGTGTCACAGCAAATTATTTAGACAAACATAAAAGCAGCACACAGTAAATAATGTTCTTGGCAAATAAAGGAAGATTTGTTTTGCCTTTTTGTTTGTGTTTTAGAGAAAAAGCTGACTATCTAGTTGTTAACCGTGTCTCTATATTCATCTGGTATTGATCTTTTGATTTAATTCCAAGCAGAAAGAAAAAAATGAGACAGTATATTTCCTAAAATGTCACATTATTGCTCTAAAAATTAGTCCCCAGCCAGAATAGAGTGAGTTTAGTTTAGCCCACTTTGACCTGGTGGGAGAGGTGGGAAAAACTTGGTTAGTCTCTTTTAAGATCAGTCATTTGGTGCTCATGTGTAATAGATAGGTGTAGTATCTATTTTATCATTGATTGATTTCTTTTTTTTAATCTTTTGATCTTAGACTAGACCATCTAATGCTAAGCTAACATTTTCAAGGCTAGAACTTCCAAGTATTAAGCTTACCATTTGGAACAAGTTTATTTATTTTTCTTACTGTCAAACTAGTCTGAGAATACAAATAAGTTTAAATACTGTAAATGTCAGCACTCTCATATTAGTCACTTCAATGAAAAATATACACTAGCACTATTTAGGAAAGCTTGGTATAACATGGATCACTGTTGTTTGCACAGATGCTGAGTTCCTTAGTAGTAGAAGGAAAAGTGTTTCCCAATTGGCTGCATTTCACTAAGTCAGCAAACACATTAAGCAAGGCCAGGATACCTTTGTCGTGACAGTTTATTTGTCTATCTCACTTAAAGCTGTCTTTACGCAGACTCAGCTGGATGGAGTTGAACCTCTAAACAGTGAGCCGAGAGGCATGACCTTGAACTTTATGACATATCAGAGGCAGTGAGGCTGAGAGGAGCAAAGGACCACCCACCACCTGAGATGGCCAGTTCATATCCTCTGTGCCAGGAAATGCCCTCGTCAGATGCCAGCAGGGAAGGAGATAATCAAGCTGGGGTTGTGTACTTCACAAGCCAGCAGGAGATCAAAACTCTAACCACTTACACAAGGCAGATGTTTATTCCCAGAGGCGCTACAGCCGCAATTTGGGACATGAATAATGTAGCATGTACACTTCTGGAAATGTGCTCTAAGTGTATGTGAGTTGACACTCAGGCAGCATGGGAGATTTCTTTGAGAGCAAAGGGCATGTTAAAAAGCCAAACTGACGCACAAGTATAAAAAAAATGCTCCTTCTTTAAACACATGTTCAGAGACTTTCTGATCCGTGCCAATAACAGTGACTGCTAAGCATCAAAGAGATTAACAAGTCATAAATTTAAAGTGGAAATAATCACGTCTGCAGCTCTCTGAAGGATAGAAAAGTGAGAGTATTTATTCATTCACTGATGCATGTATAACTGGCTCCGTTAGCCTAATGCTTTAATCTTTCGAATTTTCTGACACCTTTTCTCTTTTTCCCAAATCAGTCCTCCTCTTGTAAAAGAATTTGCCTTTTAGAGAAACAATACATTTGACAATTTTTACACAAGAGTTAAGCAGTCTAATGCCACTCATTACCAAGCACTTGGAGGGCATGGTTATTGCTCAACTGCCTTGTTTTCCTGTGTGTGGGATTCATTACGTTTGGCACGGTTTCTTCCAAATGGGAAAGCAAAACCATTACAAATCCTGTGATCGTTTGCCAGTTTGAGTTTAATCCTGTATTCTAAAACAACAGCGCCTAAATTTTAAGATGTAAATGCATATTTCAGAGCTACAACAACAGCTTATTGTCGCATCCATGTTGGTTCATGTTTATCTAGGATTCTTCAACATGAGTTTTCGAACTGTGAATGGAGCCCCCGTGTTTACTATCGCTAAGCGCTTCTGCTTCCAGATCTGTTTCCATCCTGTCGTCTCTCAGTTGTGCCTCTGTTGCCATTTTCCACAGCTTTGCTGCTGTCTCACGAATGAAAGTTTTACAGTCTCCCTCACCCACAAGCCAGCTTAACTCTTTATTGAGCGGCAAGAGGAAGAAGATTCTGCTCATGCTGAGAATACGTGATGTATTGTATACTGCAGTATGCATTCATCCAGTGAGGTTTGACGCTTTCATGGAATATTGTATATTTTTTACCCAGTTCCCTGGTCTCCCTGGGTCTCCATCCTCTCCCGGAAGGCCTCTATGACCCTGCAGAAGAATAAAAAATATGGCATGACAGATTCAACTTGTCTGTCAACTTGAGCCAGTTGCATGCAGAATGACATTCACCTTTGGTCCTGGAGCGCCCTGGATGCCAGGCTGCCCATGCATACATTTGCAAGAGGGTCTTCCCCCTGTGAGGCCGATCACTGCATATCCTCCACACTGCAATGGACATATAGGTAACCATGTGACTCCACACATACTCCACACCTATCACTAAAAACAGAGATGCAGTAATGTTAGATGGATGACTCACCACGCTCGAGAGCTCACAACAACCTTCTGAATAGGCCTTTTCTGGGTCACATGACACTTCCATCTGCTGTAAATCCACCTTGAAAGAAACGGAAGATAATATGAGAAAATAAAGCTATATAAAAAAAATCAAAACAAAGACTAGTTAAGATAATTGCAAATGCAAAGTGTCAACATACAGACACAGAGCGATCTCCTGCAGCACGCTTTACAATGGAGGTATATCCTTGGTGGATGATTGGCCTTGGCTCATCAATGGACTCCACTCTGATCTCTTCACAGTCTATCAGCAGTTTCACCTGGCTGCCCTTCACACTCAGTCCTACCTTGTGCCACTCTCCATCAAAGACCTTCTCCACACCATGGAAGGTCCTCAGCATCTGGCTCCCATGGGGGCTTGTGAAGAAGAAGTCTAAGGAACGTGTATCACCCTGGAACCGAAGGCCAACCTGCTCTTGTCCCTCAGGGTCACTGATCTGCCACAGGTTCCAGGACTCCTTGGCAGTGTCTTTGGTCGCCCTAAATGTTGCAATGACCGAGTAGTCGGAGGGAAGTCCATCTGGGTACACGTCGCTGTGGCACAAGAATCAGGTTTAGAGGGCTGGGTGACTAAACAGAGGGTACTTTATTTCAAAAATCAGCAAAAAAATTCTGGGAATTTAATAGTTTTATTTTATATGAAGAAGTAAAAACTGAGACACTTGAACTATGGTGGTGGTGGAGTTTTATATATCACTAGTGCCAAAGTTAGCTTGGTAGCTAATCTACAGCTGTAGTCTGCACAAAACTAAAAAGGAAAAAAAATGTTAAAATGCATTTTCTACATAATAAAGTGTCAATCGATGTTGCTAAGCTTTTAAAACAGATGTTTTAAACGGTGAACTTGCACAAAGGCAGGACCTCCCTCTCTGAGCAAAACGAAGCCATCATTAACACCTGTGATTTTCCTACTGTGACAAGTTAAATTCTCTGATGTGAAAAAGCTCTACTGTGGGAACTTGACCTGCAGTGACACCTGTACCAGAATCCTACACCACAGTTGTTTGTTCATACTGCAGACACAACACAGTTGTCAGTGTTAAGTTGTTCAACAAAGAGAAATTTAACACCAGTCTTGAAAGATTAAAGGACTCAGCTCCGTTTGCACTCCTGACCAGATGCAGTGTGATCAGAGGTGTCCTCTGCTGCACCTGTGACCACACCTGATATTCAGTGTGCACTCCTACACACACCTTGGTTACACCACTTGAGATCCGTATCAAGTAATATATTATATGAAAGGGAATGAAGAGAGCTGTACAACAAACTTTTTTATTTTGTCAGCATGATGCCCTAGGATTTCACAATGACGCCTTATGGTTTGGCAAAATTGCACACGGATAACTATATCTTTATATTCTCAAGTTTTCACAGCTTATAGAAGCTAAAGATTTCAGGCAGTTCTGCTCCAGTCATATGAATAAAGATAATTAAAAGTCAGCATGTAATGCCTCAAGGTCATAGGCCAAAGGTCAGACATCAGCCAATAAGAGGAGGCTGACATCCTCATATTATAATAAAACAACATAAAACATCAAAGTTTTAGTGTAGACCTTCAGGGGAAGTTCTCAGAGTGCTCTTAAGCTAGTTTTTAATTATTTCTAAGCTCTAGTGAGGTTTAGCAGATCTGTACCTCATGGACTTCTGTAGATGGATGGAGGGGTTGATACGGTAGGCCACTGCCTCAGGTTGAGAGCCGTCCACCCTCCTCACTCCTCTTGAGTCAGGCACATGAAACTCCTCCAGTAAGTCAAAACCTCGCAGCACAAACACTCAGGTTAGTTTGCTTTATAACTGGTTGAGCATCAAAGGTGTTGGACTATTTCTGAATCTTACGTCACTGCTGATATCACCGACTTTTATTAGATAGATGCATTACTCAGTGTTGTTATTAATGCCATCTAATCAGTGAGGTAATCCATTAAACCCATTAGCACAACAAGGCTGTTTATTTTCCTTCATGGGTGAATTTAACCACTAAATTTTAAACACTGGATGCTTTGTACTGCACTCTGAATGAGATCAGCATTGCTGCAGAATTTCCTGTAAATGTTCAGATTAAAGCTGGGGAATGTTTATGATTACAGACACTGTGACCTAAATATACACCTGCTAAGAAATATTAGCCTTAGATTTTTTTGGAAAACACTGTTGCCAGGTTATTTTTATGTGAATTGGCTTGTTTGTGACTTTAATCTGTGGATACTGAACAGGACACCATAGCTAAGAAAATGTAAAAAAAAAAAAAAAAAGTTTCAGGCTGCACACTCTTTGGCTCCAAATAGTAATCTAATCCTCAAAACATTTGTTCCTGATTTCTCTCATTTTTTTTTTTTTTTGCTGCTCTGTTTTCTATCAAAAGAAATAAAAACACAACGATAACTGTTTTTTAGTGATAGCGTAACTCTGCTGCAGGAGTTCAAAGTTTAATGTGCAAATCTTAACCCTAGATTGACCTCTGCACACCTTTTACTGTGCATATTGGCATGGAGCAGCTGTTGGACCAGGCACTGGGCTGACAAACAGTGACATCTGCTGGTCAGAATACAGTAGTGGGCTACTGTTTAGAAAAAAAGAAAAAGAAAAAAACAACTAATTCTTAATATGATATTTAGGATTATAACTGCCGTTTACTTTTTTTTACCACAAAGGGCTGATCTGAGATTAGATGGCATCATGTATAACAAGAGCTGCACCCACACAATCAACCAACACCTGTCTACATTTGGTTATGATACATAAAAAATTGTTCTTTTTATACATTCGAAAATAGGCAGTAATATGAGGTTACGCATTTAAAAAATGCAAACTTACTTGGCAACTTTTGACACTGGGCCAGTCGCAAAAGAGAAAAGAGAGCCACAAACACCAGCATATTTTTCTGAGCTGGCATTTTCAGTTTTTTGATGTCTGGAATTATAAGTGCCTGTAATACAGCAATTAAACAAACCAATAATTCTAAGAGATCAGGTCGCACACTATGTTAATATAGGCTTTGTGAAACCCTCCGATGTCTTCCAAAAGTACTCCCTACCCATGCACAAAGGTTAAAGATATCAAAAGAATAGAAGGAAACTAAGAGTAATAATAATACCAATAAGAAAGCATTTTTCTGACTATGTTTTATTGCAAGATTATCTTCAGTATGAGCTGTAGTTACAGCTTTGCCTACGCAAATGATTTGCAGTTTAAGCACCTAGATTGTTACCTATACTATGATTACAAAACTAGATAACATGTGTAACTGATCCAATTAAAATGTCCTCAGCTCAACAACCTGATATCATTTATTGCTTTTAAAACTTTCCTGCTACCTCCTTAAATTGTATTAAATGTAAAAGTTAAGAAAACTGTATGGAATATTAGAATTACTTACATATTCCTGTGAAGCTTCTGGGAGTTCCCGTTGATGGATCTTTCCCAGTTTCTGGTGTGTGGATTTAAACAGTTCTAAAGTGCCATCACAGGGCCGGTGTTTGAGCTGAGCAGGAGGATCATTCAATCACAGGATCCCTGAGAACCCCTGAGCTCCACTCCACCTTTGGTCCCCAGAGGATCCTTCTCTTCTCATACGTCAGCCAGACCTAAGACGACTAAACAGCCCTGCGTCACCACATTGAAGAGGTGCAGGCATACTTCATGCAAGTTAAAACTACTGAAATGATGCTTCAGTGTTGGAAACTAATCCTGTCCTTGAACTTTGATCAAAATTTTGATCAGTTATGCTAAAAAATAGTTGAGTTTAGTGATTTGCCTTCGGAAAATCAGTTTCTCTGAGAGAAAGATGCAGTATGTCACAGCTAAACACAAGACGCTCTGCAAACATTCCATGTAGAAAAGATCACACCTTCAATCTAACCCGCCACTGCACCTAAACACTGCTGAATTATACTGCATACAATAAATACCTGCAACACATGAAAAAAAACCCCAAAAAAACAAAACATAAACTGTTCTGTTTTTGCTTAATAAAACAAGTTCCCATTTCCCAAGTTCTCCAGCTTATGTAAAAAAAAATTGACAGACAAACAGAGATGACGAGAAATATCCATCCAGTCTCTTTCACTTATCCAAATCAAGGTTGCGGGGAGGCCGGAGCCTATTCAGGGAAATCTTTCAGACAGCTATTGAGAGATTGGCTGGTGGTGTGACCAACATCAGAGCTACAGGGCCATTGTGAAGTTGCCCATGCAGCTAAAAATAACAGAGGAGACAGAGGCGATTCTGTGGTGCACACCAGTCTCTGGTGGCTTTCTGCAAGCAGGTTTATTACAAAGTAATGTTACAGTAACAATTTCAGCTCTACCGAAATTAACCATACATTGACATGGGTGCACAGAGAATGTCTACATGAAGTGGTACCTCTTCGAGGTCAGAGTACTCATTTGCTGTGAGGTGGTTAAACAAAAGACGGGCTGCAGCTGCTGACAAACGGGTACATAAAAGCATCATTGTTACGAGGTTTTTGCTACTTGTCTTAAATAGGGGTTTTCGAAGGCTTCTGCAGTGCTTAGTGGGGTTTATTGTAATATATTGCATTGCCCTTTAAATGCATGTTGGCAGTATAACATAGCACTTAAATAGATAATCGCAGTGTGTCAAACGGTACCATAATGCACCATCTACTCCAAACAAAAGCATACATAAATAATAGTACATTCAGTAACTCTTAGAGCACTATCCTGCATCTTTGCCCTTCATTAGTGTAGAAATGTTAGTTCGGCTTGATCATTCCCAGATTTTCTAGTGTTCATCAATCCTCTTCGGGATTTGCATAAATAAAAATAAAGTACAATAAAAACAATTTGACATATTTTCACAAAAAATAAAATACATTAAAAACAAATACACAAGGCCATTGACTTTCCATTCTCACAAAATATTAAACCATATTGCCTCTTAACAGAATATTTTACATCTTTGCAAGAATTTAAATAACACGTGACACATTTGCAGTCTTTTTTACTTTTTTTTCTTTAAGTTACACATCTCCAGTGTCCATTATGTGTTTAGGGTGCAAATAGCTCCTGGGTTTGTTGTTTGTTTGTTTTCAAGGCCACTGTCTATCGCTTCAATCCCTTGGCCAGTTTGCTTGTAGGGGTCATTCTTCTTTGAGGTGTGGGGATCTTAGAGGGTTTCCCTCTGTGTTGACGGGACGCGGAGCGCGGCGTCGCTCTGGCAGAGTCGCCGACCGTCTCGGAAACATCTGAGCACACGGATTGGATGTCTGAGATGTCGAAGTCGGAGGCGTCACTTCCTCTGCGACTGCTTCCTCTGCTTCCGGCTTTACTTCCTGGTCGGCTGGAATTTTTTCTCGATTCTAGAGAGATAAAATCGGGAAACACTTTAAGAAACACTGAAAAGGAATTCAAATTTACATGTGAATGCGATGGATAGATGTGGAGAAAAAGTTGCAAAGATGATGCTTTCTACTCACCACCTATTGCCTGCGTTCGAGCTTTTAGTACAGCAGCACTGATCAAGCTCCCTTCTTCACCTGACTGAAATCCTTTGCCGGACAGGTACCCAGGCAAACGCAATTTGCTGCCTTGAACCGCATTACTCTGCGAAAGAAACAAACTTTTATTAAAATGTAATCAGATGCAATTATTAGTAAAAAAAAATAGAAGACCAAATTTTTAAAAATAAAAGTCTTGAGTATGTATATGTAATAAAAAATTAGTCTTAATTCTTATTTTTAAAAAAAGAAACATTTTAGTAAAATCATAATTTTTCCCATAACTGAGGTGTATCTGTCAGATGCAGTTAGTATGAATTCATGTACAGCAGAGCAATACGTCATTAGACATTAATGACATGCAGAGGCGACATATGAAGTTGTACATGATGTAGTGGTATAAAAAATAAAGGTTAGGAAAGAAAAGAGCTAGTGATTGAGCCAATTATTCAAGAAAAATAAAGGTTACAAACCCAAATAAAATCTAATAAGCTCATTTTGCATCTTCAAATCCAATGAAGTCAGAAATAAATCTACAAAAAGGCACTTTTTGCTTCTTCTTTTTTTTATTTATTTTTTTAAAGATTTTTCAATAGATTTCAGTTGGGTCATATATCTGAAGTGTTTCACATCATGTGCTGCATTATGACTATACCTCTGAGGATGAACCTTGGCTCCCAAAGGAGTCTGATGATTTAAGAGGAGTGGAGGGTTTGCTGTTTGTAAGCCATGGTTTATCATAATTGCGGGTTATGTGTTGGGGATTCTGGGGAACAACGGCAAATCAAAAGACAGAGAAATGGATTCACAAACTCAAAAACTATCAGGAACACTAGATGGAAGAAACACAGAAATCAAACAACAAAATGACCAAATTCTGCAAGGGTAATTAAAAAAAACAAAAACAAATTAAAAAGCAGATAAATGAGAGGAAAATCATGATGGTGGTGGAGAGGTTGGGGGTGAGACAGAATGAGGCAGCAGCCAGCTCTAATGGCAGATGTAGCCTCTCACCTTGGGTGTGCTGGTCGCTGCTGGGTTGATGGGGACGGGGAGGCTCTGACTGGAGGTGGATCTGTTGGGAGAAGCTCCTCGAGATGAAGGCCGAGACCTCCGGCCTCTGTAGCGGAAGCTTGCCATCACTTGAGTGGTTCCCTCTGGGAGGATGAACTTCTCTCGCAGCTCCACATTGGTCCTGCCTTTAGCTAAGAAAGACACTCAAAATGAGCCATGATGCACAAATACACCTGTCACTGTTATTTTTGTGTTAATGGTGATTAAGATGATGGTGAGTTAACAACCCACCCCCTCATTTCTTTATATTGTGCCAGAAAAATGGGAAAGAGATGCCGAGATTTATTAAAACATGCAGACTGAGAGTAAATGGGAAAACAGTATATGAGGCGAAGTCTGAACAATTCTAATGAGCTTTTATTCTTCAGCACAGTTTGAACTCTCTTATGAAAGGCTTCTTATAGTTTCTGATACTTAGTAGTCTTCAGGAATAGCTCTCCAATCTTACTGAAGGATATTCAAATTTCTTTTTTAGATGTTGGCTGCATTTTGTTGCACAATAATAATGTTGAGCTTCAGGCTCAAGGGAGCCCAATCCATGACAGACAGTGTTTCACTGTGAGCTCAGGATCACTGTCATCCTGTTAAATGACGCTGTTGTCAGTCAGATCCTCTCCAGATGGTATTGTATGTATGTGGATCCAAATCTAATGGTAGTTTTTTCTGTTCATGATTCCAACAATTTTGACAAGATCCCCGACACCACTGACTCCAAGCTCCAAACCACGACAGAACCCCACTGAGATTTACAGATTGCTGCAGACACTTACTGCTGTGTCTGTCCTGACTTCTTCAGTACATATTGATCACTATTTGAACCAAAAATTTCAAATTTAAATTTATCACTCCTTAAGACATGTTGCCACTTATTTTCAGTACAGTTCTTGCCTAATTTGGTGCGCATCAGCCTCTTCTCTGTTCCTTATTCTTAAAAATTGCAACAGGCTCTTAGTAACCAAGTACCTAAATATACCATTTAAAACTGGCTCTTTGCTAGATTGTCTGTTGTGTGTAGATAACACTGCGTAAAGTGCCTTGATTTATGTTTTAATGATTCACAGGACGGTGTTATTCATCTTAACAAACAAAAAGCATTCCTCTGATGCTGGTCAGAATAAAAATGAGTGAAAAAGCAGCCAATGTCCAAAGAAACATTTTGAAAGACCTCCAGAAACCCAGAAGAACTATTGCTCAAGACCACTTTCAAAAATTTACCAAACATTCTGGATCCTTCGATGCAAAATATAAAGAAATGAGGGGTGGCTCCAGACTTGTGCATGTCTTGTCGTGCACAACACTGCATGCTAAGCTGTATTCCCGGCTGTGTAGAAATCTGTTGCTTCTAACGGTAATATCATGAATTGGAAATTTACCAATGTATTTTTCTTATAATCATCACTGAACTACACAGCAATTTCCAGGCGACCCCAAAGAACAGACCAATGAAATGTTATCATGATGTGACTCAACAACAAAACAGCTCATGCAGTTTCATATCTCATCCATACTGTTGAACAGACGTCCAGTTCCTGTTGCAACGGTAGTGGAATAAGTGACAGCGAGAAAACTAAAATAAATCAAAGTGAGTCTAAACACTCTCACAAACCAAAGAAGAAGAATTATAGGAAACTAAACTACAGTGTATAAACTAAACAGTACGGTTACATTGAAAACAAACAGACCTGCATGCAGTTTTAAACACTAAGCCACCCTGTCAAACAAAGTAAATGGTGTAAGAAATACTGCTTCGGTTTTGTGGCGTGTGTTTCATAGAGGCAATGTAACCATTTCCCCCTATGAAGGAGCCTATACTACCAGGCAATACAGTCAGATAAGCACAGCTCGAACCCTGGACTGTAAAAAGAAGCTTGACTCAGAGCTCCCTATGACATGCGGCGCGAGTAAAATGAGCCAGTTTCATTGTGCTGAAGTGCTCGAAGGTG